TAGCTGACTGTGTTCAGCAGGTCAGCGGTTCAAATCTCACCGGCTCAAGGTTGACTCAGCCTTCCATACTTCCGAGGTAGGTAAAATGAGGACCCAGATTGTTGGGGGCAATGTAAATATATATATATATATACATTGCTTACTGGTGTATACCGCTTAGAGAGTGCTTGCACTTAAAGCGGTATATAAGTCTCATAAATAAATAAATAAATAAACAAACAAACAAACAGAAAGTTGTGTGTCATCTCTTGAAGAACCTCACCCTTCCACTCTGATTCATGTTTTTGACAATTTTTGACTTTTCTCCAACCTTCTCTTTTTAAGGAGAGTCATTTGGAAGTTAGTGGCAGCCCAGCTACAGAAGCTCCTAGAAAAAATGGATTATCTGGATTTCTGTCACTCAGAATTCAGACCCAGTAATGGGATGGAAATGGCATTGATCTCCTTGGCAATGACTTCTGTCTGAACTTTTTAAGGCAGTGTGTGGCTCTCTTTGTCCTATTAGACCTTTCTTAGAGAATTTAGCTTGTAATTTCCAATCCAATCATTGTTATATTTGTTCTTTTCCAGTAATCTATCATCTTCTTTTTCCCCTCATTTCTTAATAATAATGGATATGTGCATCCTTTTCATCCGTGGCTCATACATGGAACTGCTAGCATAGTTCATCTCCAAGCACAATTTGGGTGAACAGATATTACTTGGAATGATCCTGCAAATATCTAGATTCCATGTTGGACTCCATAAGTTATTACTAACACCATGAAACAAATTGTTAACAAATAAAACTTCCAAAGTATTTATGGCCGTTTGGATGCTGGAGTTATTATATAAACACTACAATCTCAAAAGAGTATGTTGCTGTATATTGGTCCATTTGGGATGTGGCAACAGTGACTGTTGTCAGTGCCTCTTATTCCAGGGACAGCCATAATGACAACTAGTGGAAGCTGGGTGAATATTCTCAACTTGGCATAATTTTCGTATTGATGATGCTGTACCTCAGACTGTCAAATAATTAATCTTTCCCACCAGTCTTATAGTCATGGAGTTTCGATCTTAACCTATTACAATTTTTTTTCAAAATCCAGTTGTCTCTATTTTTTAAAAAATCTATTTGTTTACAGTCACCTTCCTTTCTTTCCCCCTTTTGAGCACATATTTAAAGTCTTCCTGCTTGCTTTGATCAACAGCTCAAAAGGGGCTGCAATTAGACATTTTGAAGGAAGTATTTTGTATAGCTCTGGAAAAGAAGAATTTATTTTGGAAAATCACACATATATTCAATGGAAATTTTTTTATTCATCTGAAATTCCAATTAACAGGTGGCTAAGATCTTACAGTTTTTCTGGCAAGGTTTTTCAGAAGTAGTTTACCATTGTATGCTTCCTAAGGCTGAGAGAGCTACAATCAGAATGGTGGAGTTGGAAAGGATCATAAAAGTCAGCTAATCCAATCCTTTGCAGTATACAGGAAAACCAGTTAAACCATCCTTAAGAGTTGATTGTTCAATCTCTCAGAGATGGGTAGCCCAGCTTTTAAGCAAAAAGTTATTTTCCATCTTTTTTGAAGATCAGAAAGATACATCAGAATAAATCCCGACTGCCATTATTTCATAACATTTTGCTACAAGGAATCCTCAGGTTACAACTACTCATTTAATGACCATTTGAAATTACAATGTCACTGAATGCAGTGTCCCCATAATCACATGTTCACAGTTTGGGCGCAAGGCAACTGGCTTGCAATTTTAGCATTTTGTGATCATGGGATTTCTATTTGTGAGCTTCCCTGCTGGCTTCCAACAAACAAAGTCCGTGGGAAAATTGGCAGGAAGCCACAATTCACTGTGGCTGCCAGCGCTTTCTCTCCTGGGGTGCTTCCAGGCAGCATGGGAATCTTGTTTTCCATAGTACACACCCACAGCATCTGCCTGCCCATTTTCTACTGCCTGACCATGGCATCCATGTGTATGTCAAGGCTGAATTGCTAAGATGCCTACTAACTTCTATTGCTACTCAACTTGTCATAGAAAAGGGGGAGGGATAGAAAATGTGGGGAGAAAATGGGATTCTGAGAAGTTGTCCACGGACTGTGAGAGCCTACAAGAATGCCAAGGTCACTAACGCAGGTGTCAGACGGAGAAGTGGACCATTCTCATAACAAACCAAAGAGATATGATTGGGCAATGTGAACACCCGGTGAGTGGGGGCTAAGGGAAGCTACTGTTAACTTGGCTAAATTTCTTGCAGGAAAACCAGAGCTGATTTTGCTTCTTCAGTTCTGAGATGTGTATTTAATAAATTATTTTTTGGCGCTTCAAAGCCTTGAAGATTCCTTGATTTTGAGTTCGCTAGTCAGACAGTTGATATTGTACTTTATAGCACCCATTTGTATTCTGTAGAAACTTCCTGCTTGTACTCCATGGCAGCCACTTGCCTGTAATGCCTGCCCACAGTATCTGTCCACCCATTCATACTGCACAGTGCTATCCAACCCACCTGTAGCTCTTGCCTGGGACACAGTTTGTGGCAGAAACAAACGCTTCTGGATTCTGGCCTTCTTCCATGTCATAGTCATGTGAACTCTCTACAGGAAGTCCTTGACATACAAGAGTTCATTTAGTGACCATTCAAAGTTACAATGGTTATGCCCAGTTTTCACATTTATGACCATTACAACATCCCCATGGTCTTGTGATCAAATTCAGATGCTTGGCAAGTGGCTATAATGGTTGCAGTATCCTGAGGTCACGCAATCACCTTTTGTGATCTTATAAGCAAAGTCAATGGGGAAGCCAGGCTCACTTAACAACCATATTACTTAAGAACTGCAGAGATTCATTTAACAACTGTAGCAAGAAAAGTCATAAAATGGAGCAAAATTCACTTAACAACTGTCTTGCTTAGCAACAGAAATTTTGGGCTCAATTTTGATCATTACGTTGAGGATTACTTGTATTTAATAGCCCAGGCAGTCCTCGCTTATTGAATGCAGTGGGGATTGCAGGGATTGTCATCACTAAGAAATGATGATGTCGCACTTTATGACCACACTGCTTAGTGATGGAATTTCCAGTCCCAAGCACCATTGTTAATTGAGGACTATCTATACCTTCATTTGATTGCCCTTGACATCCTTTGCCAACCTTAGTTCACTCTCAACAGTAATGTTACTGATATCTTCAATACAGTTAATTCCAAACTATTTTTAGGTCTTTGTTAAGTTTTTTGAGCTGCACATTATTATTTTCTTGCAGTCTCCCATTTTTTTCTGATTGAATTATTTGAATAGGTGCTTTCATATCTTTTTTCAGGAATTCTCATCGGCTTTGTTTAGCATTGAAAACTAAGCAGGGTAGATCTTCTTAGTACTTGGAAACCACCATGAAATCTTAGTGCTAAAAGCTAGCCCTGGAGCTTGAAAATAACATTCTGAGTTTGTCAGGTAATGGATATACCTCTTAAGCTTGGGTCAGTGGATGTTTCTTTATTGCTATTATTAGAGATTTGTATATTTTTGTATTATTATTATTATTCATTCAACTCAAGCCTACAAACATATCTAATTCTCCTGCCTCCTGTTTTTCTCCAGAATAAATGTGAGGTGGGTTGGGCTGAGAGTGACTGGCCCAAAGTCATCCAGTTGGCTTTCATGTCTAAGGGAGGCCTAGAACTAACAAGTTCTTTTTCCTATTATTCTCACCTACCAAGGAATTCTACTTACCATTGCCCTGAGCTTATTCAAATCTACATTTTAAGTCCAAGAAACAGGTTCCAATCATTCAGCTTTAATTTCCATTAAAATTAAGAATTCTGGAGTTTCTTGCTTGCTTTAATTAGTGTGTATGTATGTTCACTTCTTCAGCTATGTCTTTTATATCAATATCGAAGTCAGTAACAGCTGATTCTTTTGTTTGTGCTCCACTTTCCGAAGGAGAAAATTGTCAGCAAGGCAAGCCTTAAATGTCCTATATGGATTTTGCTTAAGCAGATTTGTCACACAGATGCGAGTAATGTACTCTCTGGGTATAATTTCCTTAAGATTATTTCCACTTCTACCTGCATAGTACAAAATTTCCCATTTCAGTTACAATACATGACACAAATAATGATTTTATAGATATTAGGAGAGTATGTTCCACAACAGTATCCTTTTTTACTATGTTCAATTTCTGCCCTGATAAGTCCTTCAGAAATCCATTCACTCATTTACTGAAGGAAATTTGTGCACCAGCTAATGTCTATTGAGGCACAAAGATGTATGCTTACGAAAATCATAGGGCTGGAAGGTCCATTGGAGGTCTTCTAGTCCAATCCTCTGCCCAAGGCAAGAATCTTGTTAATGTTACTCCATTGATATGTTAGTCCAATAATCTCTGCCATGTTTAAAACCCGTGTAGCTCTCTGGACATTTGTAAAACTGGAATAGCAGATCTTTTTTGCTGTGTAGTTGGAAGGATCCTGTAAGGTAGTCCTCAACTTACGACTAACAACAGTTAGTTTAGTGATCGTTCAAAGTTACAAAGGCACTGAAAAAAGTGACTTATGATCGCTTTTCACAGTTATGACCTTTGCAACATCCCTGTGATTATGTGATCAAAATTCAGATGCTTGGCAACTGGTTCATGTTTATGACCATAGCTGTGTCCCAAGGTCATGCGATCATCTTTTGCAACCTTCTGCCAAGCAGAGTCAGCGGGGAAGCCAGATTCAGTTAACAACTGTAGCAAGAAAGGTCATAAAACGGGGCAAAACTCATTTAACAAATGTCTTACTTAAACAACAGAAATTTTGGGCTCAATTGTGGTATAAGTTGAGGACTACCTATATAAGACTGAATTTGATAGTATAACTGAATTTGGGGCAAATATTTTTAAGCCTCCGAATTAGATCGGAAGTTACTTCTTATAAATGAGACAAATGATTATATGTTTATTTAAAGAAAGTATGAGTATTAATGTTGCCTAATTTTTTTATTGTTATATATTGTTTTCTCAGGACTTGAAAACATGCAAGCTGAACAGTACAAAATGGCTTTTTCCTGTTTCAAGCTGGCTGCAGATCAGAACTACAGCAAAGCCCAGTACAATGTAGGATTATGCTATGAACATGGAAGAGGCACCACAAAGGACATGACTAAGGTTTTCCAGTCCCATTTGTTTTATTCAGCCTATGTTACCGCTTTATGTAGAAAACTGAGCAAGAGGGAATCATTTATTATCTATTAAGTGCCTAGTATGTCCTGGAACATAGAGACAAGTTCAGTAGTTGCCCTTTGCTTTCTCCTATCTTGTTGCTTCTTCACTGCAGAAAAATTATCTTTGGTGGAAAGTGTTATGAAAGTGCAAAAGAGGTACACAACAATTGTACAACATTGCAGATAAGGGATAGAGGACTAAAGATACCACTTCTATATTAGTGCGAGTTTATATGTATTCATTTTCTGATGAGTTACAGACTTCAATCTAGAAAGAAGACAGCCTTCCTATCGATAAGTACAAGGAATGGATATGTTGTGATACTAATTGTGCAGGTCAGCAGCTTTAAATGCTGTTGGAAATAAGAGAAATTCTTTCTTTGGGTTATCCTTGTCTTCTGAAGTAAGTTGTGTGTCAGGTCAATCTTGATTTCTGGAAACTGCTGGGACTAATCTTTCAAATTTTCATGGCAAAGGTTTTTACTTGCAACTTTACCAAACTGACTTTCCTTTTAAAGTAGATACAAGCTATTAATATTTTGTTTCTTTGTACTTGTAGCTAAGACTTGCAAAGCACTCGAGAGATGTTTCATAAAGTGCATTTGAGTAAATGAGCAGATGTCAGGATCCAGTTATATTTCCTTTCTATCTCCTCTGATCTAAAACCAATTCTTACCCTTTCCTGGGTCCTGCCATACTCCGGGGGGGGGGGGAGTATTATTTTCACTATTCAATACAAAGTAAACTTTTGTTCATTCACCTCTGCTAACCATTACAATGTAACCATTTGCCTCTTATCCTGTGCACCTCTGAACTTTTCCTTGCTGGTCAACTAGGAAAGGGGGGGGGGGTTTGAAAAGATACAGCCTCCGGAATCTGATTTATTTATCCATCATCAAGTAAGGAGCTGTTGCATGATCGTACAACGGAGCAGGATTGATGTTATCTTTCCTGGATTTAACGCCTAGAAATCTGCCAATCTGAATCACCCGGAAGAACTGCGGGATGAGGGTTGCTTAGAGACACTTTAAAACATTGATTTGTGAGGGAATCCCTCAGATCCTGTCTATCATGCCTACTATCAATTTCTCTTAATAAAAGTTCTGTTTCCAAGAATTCTGCTTTCTTAAGATGTGGATTGAAGTGGTTCCTTACAGCAGCTTTTTATATATATATTAAAGTCACCACATGTTTTGTAAGATCTGTATAGCTGTTTCCAAAGCTGTTCCCAACTGCTACTTTTTTTAGCTTTTCCCCCCTCAGGTACCTTGCTTTTGGTGTAGAAGCCTGGCCCTCTGTGGTTTCATTTGTGCTTAAAGCAGGGGTGGGAATCTCTGGGTGTATGAGTTACCATGTATTGTCCGCCTTGCCTTGCCCCATCCCATACCAGTAGTAATTTTTTTAAAAACTCCTCCCTTGACAAGTGTACATTGCTATGCAGTAATTATTTTGTGGGATTACATCTGGATAAGGGAAACATATTCTGTTATGCAATTATATTTGTAAAAGCTTTCACTGGAGGCAACGGAAATGGGGAAAATATGTTATAATCTTGACTGATTTGGGGCCCATTATTCTGTCTCAATCCAACCTATTTCACAAGTTTTTGTTCTGAGGAAAAATAAGAGGCGGAAGCAGTATTTTCACTGCTGAGAGCTTCTGTACCAAAAGTAAAATAGGTTAGGTTAGGTTAGGTTAGGTTAGGTTAGGTTAGGTAAGGTTAGGATAGATAGATAGATAGATAGATAGATAGATAGATAGATAGATAGATAGATAGATAGATAGATAGATAGATAGATAGATAGATAGATAGATAGATTAAAAAATGAACTGGGGAGACAGAATAAGGGGAAGTCATTCCTAATACAGTGATTTAGATTTTTAGGACAATGGAAAGTTAAAGTGGCATGCAAAGTGGATTGGACCAGGAAATTCAATTGAGAAATTAAGGCTTTTTTCTTCATTTTTTTTCTTTCTGGTTTTAATACATTCTGTAGTGCATGAATAGCATTCTTTTCAGTATTCAGATTGGCTGTTTAAAACTGAAAAAGTATTTTGAAGGCTATAGATTGATTAATTTTGCCTTAGAAAATTTTCATTATAAAATAAATTTATAACAGCGAAATAGAATTGGAAGGGACCTTGGAGGGTTTTCCTACGCACAATTAAGATAAAGGTAAATAACAACAACAACAACAACAACAATAATAATAATAATAACAGAGTTGGAAGGGACCTTGGAGGTCTTCTAGTCCAACCCTCTGCTCAGGCAGGAAACCCTATACCATTTTAGACAAATAGCTGTCCAGTCTCTTCTTAAAAACTTCCAGTGTTGGAACATTCACAACTTCTGGAGGAAGGTTGTTCCACTGATTAATTGTTCTAACTGTCAGGAAATTTCTCCTTAAGTCTAGGTTGTTTCTCTCCTTGATTAGTTTCCATCTGTTGCTTCTTGTCCTGCCTTCTGGTGCTTTGGGGAATGGCTTGACTCCTTCTTCTTTGTGGCAGCCCCTGAGATATTGGAACACTGCTATCATGTCATCCCTTGTCCTTCTCTTCATTAAACTAGACATACCCAATTCCAGCAATCGTTCCTTATATATTTTAGCCTCCAGTCCCTTAATCATCTTTGTTGCTCTTCTCTGTACTCTTTCTAGAGTCTCAACATCTTTTATGCATTCTGGCAACTGAAACTGGATGCAGTATTCTAAATGTGGTCTTATATATCTTATAAAGCATTATAAACTGGTATTAAAACTTCACATGATCTTGTTCTGTCCCTTTGTTAATACGGCCTATGACTGCGTTGACTTTTTTGGTAGCTGCAGCACACTGCTGGCTCATATTTAAGTGATTGTCCACTAGGACAGTAAGATCCCTCTCACAGTTACTACTATTGAGCCAGGTACTACTTATACTATATCTGTGCATTTGGTTTTTCTTGCCTAAATATAGAAGCTTACTTTTTTCATCCATCCGACCATCTAGATTATATGACATATTTGTAAAATATATTCCGCAAAAGAATAATTTCATACGCATATATGTGCATATGTGTATATCGCAGTTTTCTTATAAGTAGTAAGTGTGTTTTGTCTCAAAAATTGCTATTTCTTTATAGGCAATCCTCTATTATCAGCGAGCAGCTCATCAGGGACACCTCTTGGCCCAATACCGCTATGTTAAATGGCTTTTCTGCTGCTGGTACAAAGCAGGTAATAACAGCTAAGTAAACAAGCAGTATTCTGACCTGGCAATTTGTTGTGGCCAACTTGCTGTGGGCCAACTTGCCATAGCCAACTCACTGGAGGACAAGAGTTATACTAATATCAAAGAAATAATGGAATAGAATCATTAAAGAAAGGATGCAAAAGGAGGGACAGAATGAAATGTGAATGGCAAAAATTAAAATAATTTATTTTAAATAATTAAGTGAAATTGTTAAATTGTCCTGCAGTGAGTTGTCCTGTAGCTAGTTGACCATGGTGAGTTGGCTGCAGCAAGTTGGCCGCAACGAGTTGTTTGTGACAAGTTGTCCCATTCTGCATTAGAGCTTGTTCATGTTTACAAGGTTTGAATTTATATGAAGTACAAATTTAATCTCTGTGATCCCTGTGTTCTTTCTCTCAGCTATGCAGAACCAGAATGAATTACCACTGAAAGAAAGAACATGTCTGTCCAGTCCATGCCTTCATATCCTTGGTCAGCCACTGAGTGCTCACTCGGGACAGCCAACTGTTGGTTTTCTTCGCTCATGGAGCATTGGACATCTGGAAGATATGGCAGATAGTTCTGAACTGCAATCCTATTTGGGGCTATCTGATGAATTCTCCATCAAACTACAGCCTTTCCCTTGCTCTACAGGAATAATGGTTGATTAACAAGGATCGTGAAGAAAATTTCTTTTCAGAAAATTGAAAAAATATTGTTATGGTCCTAACTTACTTTTTATAAGATTAGAACCAGCTGGACATTTTGAAGTTATAATTTAATTGTCTCATAAATGTATAACGACTTACCTGGTACTGAGGAAAGTAGTTGTTATCATTGAATATTATAACCAAATCCTGCTTTGATGGACTATTTCATCTTACAAGTGTCTGTTGTAACTAGCCTCAGGAAATTATAAGTATTAATATGCTATATGACAACTTTTCTACAAACTTGCAAAATTGTCACCAAGCTAATTGCCTTCATTAAATGTTTTGGAGAAAATTTGTACTCAGTGTTTGAACTGAACATTCTCATTACAATCAGACTATGAAAATGCTGCATCCATAAAAGTGTATCTGTGGACTAATCTCACCCATACCATATGGCTTTCAAGCCTATGAAACATGATTTTCTGGATGCCTAGAATTCCATGATGGCATTTGCTTTGATTCCAAAAGGACATTGAAAGATCTTGAAACAATGTTGAGATATTGCTGTAATGAAAATATCCAGTTAGGAAATTCATAAAACACACCGAGTTACAAATATAAGAAACAATTCTTTAAACTGGTTCTGAACTGATTGACGCTATGGACAGAAATAATCTACACTTACCGATAGCATTAGCAATTGCACTTAGACTTATATACTGCTTAATAGTACTTTACAGCTCTCTCTAAGCAGTTTATAGAATCAGTGTATTGTCCTTAACAATCTGGGTCCTCATTTTACTGACCTTGGAAGGATGGAAGGTTGAGTGAGCTTAGAGAGGGTCACGATCGAACTTCTGGCAGTCCGTAGAGTTAGCCTGCAATATTGAATTCTAACCACTGCACTACCACAACTCTTCAATTTATGATGCTCTCATAAATAGCATTTAGAAAGAATTCAGTAGCTGAATGTAAAATATATGATGTTCTAGGCCTACTATGGCATACTAGACATGCCATAATATCTAGTGTGGTCGTTGGAATGTCTTCCCTAAAACAAAATGCTGCAAAAATGGAATGTTTTGGAAAAAAAAGAATTTGCATTCTTCAGAATTTCATCTAGTTAAAAATAAATACTGGTAGCAATTACTAACAGGTAAATTTCCTTATTTATAGTATGACTTCTACTCCCATGCCATTCCTTCAACAATAGAATGGTTTCAAACTGTCCTAAAAGAAGACCCATCATACCAATTTCTGCAGTGGGTTTCATGTAAAAGAATAACTAGCATTTCTCTAGAAAGAGCAGGTATATAACTAGGTCAGCAATATTGTACCTGGAAATGAGGGATGTCATCCCAAAACATTCTCATTCTCAAAAAAAGTTCTTTCCCAAATGGTTGGAATTTTTCTTTCATATGTTTGGATGTTTTTATATAGAAATTACCTTTGCAACTGCTAATTTCAATGACATTTCTCTTTATGTCTTTCTTGTATGCTGAGATTTGTTGCAGGAATCCCAGAATGAATTTTGTTGACTCAAAGTCATCTCAAACAAAGCATTCATTGTATTTTCCAGGATGGGTCTATTTTACTTGATATTCATGAAGCCCTCATACCATCCTAGACAAATGGTTGTCCAATCTTTTTTTGAATGATGGAGGACTCACAACTCTGGGGGGGCAAGTTAATCCTACTGCCAGGAAATTCATTATTTCCAGATTGGATCTCCCTCTGACAAGCTTTCACCCATTGATTCTTATCCTGCCCTAAGGTGTTTTGGAGAATAAATTGATGCCCTCTTCCCTGAAACAGCCCGTCAGGTATTGGAAAATTGTTATCACATCTCCCCTAAACCTTCTCTTTGCTAGGTTAAACATACCTAATTCCCTTAGCCATTCATCATATGATTTAGTCTCCAGACTCCTTATCTTTTTTGCTCTTTTCTGCACTCTTTCTGGGGCCTCAGCATTCTTTTTGTATCATGGTGACCAAAATTGGATGCAGTGTGTGGCCTAACTAGTGCAACATTGAATGATATTATCACTTCCAGTAATCTTGATGCTATCCCTAGTTGTTTTGCCAAAGTCTCAAAAGTATGTGATTAAGCTCTGCCTATGATTTTATGAAAATTATACATCCCCTGTTGAGATAACAGCAGCTAATATGATGGCTGATAACAGGTCACTCTCAGGGCATGATGACCTTGGAACCAGCTGGGAGGGAGTCTGCTTCATCCGAAGACAATCTCCTTAATTCCCAAGCATTATAGCAAAGCGAAAGCATTCCAAATATTCCAACGTTCCCCCTCCCCTCCAACAGAATGGCAGGACACAAAAGATGGACCTGATATTCTGCCCCCCTGAACAGCTACATTAGTCCTGAAAAAAAAAGGGGAGAGAAAGGTTAGGAGAAACATTTCATTTTGGTTTGTCAGTATTGGTTATGAATATGCTTATATAGATATGAGAATAGGATAAGGATAGGAATAGAATAGAATAGACCTTGGAAGGAACCTTGGAGGTCTTCTATTCCAGCCCCCTGCTCAAGCAGGAGAACCTATAACCATCTCAGACAAATGATTGTCTAGTCTGTTCTTAAAAATTTCCAATGATGGAGCACCCACGATTTCTGGAGGTAAGCTATTCCACTAGTTAATTGTCCTCACTGTCAGGAAGTTTCTTCTTAATTCCAGGTTGCTTCTTTTGATCAGTTTCCAACCATTGTTTCTCGTCCTTCCCTCTGGTGCTCTGGTGAACAATGTGACCCTCCCTCTTCCTTGTGGCAGCCCCTCAGATACTGGAATAGAATGGAATAGGAATAGAATAGAATAGAGCTGGAAGGAACCTTGGAGGTCTTCTAGTCCAGCCCCCTGCTCAATTTGGCTTACCATTACAAATTCTCCACTCATTTCCCATTCAGGAACTTGGAGTTTGTTCCCAATTTCCTGTATTTGAGGGTAATACACCTAGTTTGTGTTAAGGAAGGGGCTCCTTCCTTTCCCCCCCTCCCCTTGAATAGGCAGGGGACTAACGACTGTTAGCCCCCAACCAGCTGAAGAGATTTGCAAATTTCCATCAGAGCTTGTGGCTGCGGCTCCAGTGGCTGTTTTCACGGAGGAGGCTTACAGGCCGAAGATTCCTCCCACGTGTACTAGAGCACCTTCCGAGCTCGTTCGGGGCCCGCTGGAGTTGTGCGGGCAGATGTAGTCGAGGCAAACAATTTCGGCTCCAGTTGCTTTATTAGCTCACGATTGCCCATTTTTCTCAAAGAGGAGGTGTGCGCGCACACGAGAGCAGTGCCGATCAGCTGTTAGGCGGCTGCTCGGTGGGACTAAAACGGCCGGTTTTTTTCCCTTTTTCGATACTGACTGTGCTCCTCTTTCCAACTGAGTTTCTCGGATCGGGCTTGCTTCTAAGAGTCTGCCCTCACGCGCGGCTGCCATTTTGGACCACGTGGTTATGGTAGGCCCTTTCAAATTCGGGGGATTCAGGAGGAAGGGGATCCTTCCTCCTCATCACTGGAATGACAATCAGAGTGGGGGCTCTCACTTGGGGAGGTGTTCAAAGAATGGACAAACATGAGCAGGCACAGCTAGAGCAGACCCGCTATAGTCAGGCAGGCCGCCATTTTGCAGATGGCCACCATTTTGTGAACAGGGTTGGCCTTCTCTCAACTGAGGCTTCCTATTAGGAATATACAGAGCCTAGAGCAGTGGTTCTCAACCTTTTTATATGGTGACCCCGGTCATAAGCAGGTGGTGCGCATGCGCGCCGCCCCCCCTGCGTGGCACGCATGTGCCACACTGCCCCCATGCGCTGCCCCTGCACGGCTCGCATGCGCACCGGCGGCCCCCATGTGCGGCGCGCATGTGCGGCCCCACCCCCGTGCGCCGGTCCATGCGCCGGCTGAGAAAAAAATGGCCGATCACGTTGTTTGGCGACCCCCCGTGAAATGGTCGTTCGACCCCAAATGGGGTCGCGACCCACAGGTTGAGAACCGCTGGCCTAGAGGCTTCCCTAGAACACAATATCTTCTTGTGACCGCCAGTCCCACGGGTCTTCAATCCCATTTGAAATCTGACTGGATGTTTTGAACATCCAGGTTTCCCTGGCTCCTTTTTTCAGGGTTTGGTGTCTCCTGGTTCTCACATTGATCATATCCATACAATTGGTTTCATCTGGATTCCAGGCACCCCTTGTAGTGTGTCTGTCCTTATCCACGATATTTAAGGCCGGATTCCAGACGCCCCCTGTAGTGTGTCTGTCCTTATCCATGCAACAGCTATAGTTGGATTCCAGGCATCCCCTGTAGTGCACCTGTCCTTATCCACAATATTTAAGGCCGGATTCCAGACGCCCCCTGTAGTGTGTCTGTCCTTATACATGCAACAGCCATAGTTGGATTCTAGGTGTCCCCTGTTGTGCGCCTGTCCTTATCCACGCAGCGGCTGTACCTGGGTTCCAGGCATACCCCATAGTGTGTCTGTCCTTATCCAGCGTATAATACTCTCTAGATACCAGGGGGCCCCTATCATGTCCCTGTGCTATCGGAGAATGGAGGACTCTACTCTTTCCTCAAAGGGCGCCTTGCCATCCTCATTGGGTCTACTTGGTCTGGAGGGCGTTGATAAGATGGCAGCCAAAAACAAGATCAGACCTACCGTCAAAACTTCCAAAAGAACAGACAAACAGGCCAACCAGAGACACCAAGCCTTAGAAAAGGAGTTTTCCAAGGCACACAAAAAAGCTAGGTTGGAGACATCCCAGACCGAGGGGTTGGCCTTTGACTTACCCCTGGGGGCCCCAGCCTCTCCCCTGGGGATTTGGTCAATGGGGGAATCCTTACATTCCCCTGCACAGTGTGGGACAGGCGAATTTCTCCCCATTTCCCAATCCACTACTGCACAGGCTCCTCAGGGGACTCCCAAGGCCACCTTCACCCCTACTGCGGCAGGGCTTTGGCCAAGTGAGCCGGTCTCCTTCCCCATGGAGGACCATCTAGCTTTACTGATTGCGCAAGCAGTAGACCGAGCCCTTGAGGCCAGGGCACAGGCTCCCAGGCCAGTGACTACCGTTCATCATCCTACCCAACAACCCGTGGCTGAGGCCTATTATAATCCTTCCTCCCCATCTGGGTCATCAGTTTCTGAGGGTTCTTACCTTCACCAACCTGACACTGAACAGGGGATTTCAATGTCTGAAGAGGAGGAGCCTTCTCCAGAAGCTCCTTCATTCAGCGGCCTCTTCAATCCTTCTTTATTCGTTACCCTACTACGCAAGTCTACTCCCACAGCCCAACTTGGACCTGATCCTTCATCAACAATGACCTCCATTCCCCCAGACTCAGAGGCGGACC